TCCCCCTCAAACAAATCTAGCCTGATTCAGGATGCAAATAGGGAACTAATGAGGCACAACTAATTCCGTAGTAAGGAGTAAATGCAAAAGCATGAACAAGACTACGACAATGCCTTCTTTGGTCCCGAATCCAACGCATGCCACAAACACAATCACGCCGCCAAAGAGGCTTTTGCCGAGTTGCGCACACTCCAAATATTCCATGTTCAGCAACCACAAAAATCCAACTGCCTGTTCCCTGTGAGGTTGCAAATGATCAGGCCTTGGCATGTCTGCAAGGCCCAGCTACGACCAACTCGTGTGTGGCAAGCACTCGCGACTCCGAAGGTGTCAAGGCAAGTTAAGGGCTTACTTTTGGGTTTTAAGGCAATGGCGTTTGTTTGCCACACTTCACGCCGAACATTCTGATTAAGCCTTTGTTCAGTGCACGAGTGTGCGTTGGGGTAAGGCAGTCGTATTTGCACGCCGCGTTCTTATTGACACACGTGATTCAGGAAGCGACCTCCTTTTTGTCATTGTGATTGTTGCACCACCTGTCCGTAATGAAGCCTTTTTTGGTACTCGTAGTGGTCATGGAGCAAGGACGGCAAGAACTTCGTGCGAGCCGCGGTGCGATGCCGGCCCATGAGCAAGGAAGAGTTGGCCAACGGATGCAGCAACCTGGCGTGCCAATAGTTGTTCTGTGTTGCGGAGAGTTGCCCTTTCTCCCACTAACATGGCACCTGACAAGGGGTCCCTCTAAGAGGAAACTGATCTTCCAGGTACCCTCCCACAGGGGCCATGTTGGTGAGAGGAAGGGTACTTGCTTGTTGTGTCACTTCTTGAGTTTCTGAACTTTCTACTTGGAAAACCATGTGAGTGGTAAACAGACAGCCCTGGCTTTCTTCCGAATCCACTCAAGTGAGGTTGTTTGTGTGAGGTGTCTTCGTCTCACTCCCCGAGTTCCGGAACTCTCTTCCCGGGAAGGCCATGTTTTCACGGCCATCCTCCACCCCAAGACACGATAGCTGACAAAAATGTTGCCTGTTGAATAGGTTTCCATCTCACTGAAATAAGGCTTGGATGGGTCCCGCGCTGAATTCCAGCAGCAGGTTGGATGGGGTCCCGTTTGAGATCACTTCCGCCTGCCATGAAAGCCTCCACTTGTAGTGGTCCCAATGAGGATTCACTTCCATTTGCTTGATAGTATTTGTCAATTCCCTGTTGGTATCACTACTGGAATTACGATTCGAGGGCACTGAAGCAAATGGATGTTCATGATTAGGACTTTCCATCATTTGCCAGCCCTCCATTTTGGATTGACTTTCAATTTGCAGTGAAACAAATGTAAGACTTGTATTTTGCGTTCTTCCTGGGTTGGTTTGCTCCTTATAAACAAACGCCGTCCCTACCTATTCGCTTCGGTCCCCTCAGCGCAGGCAGAGTTTTGACCATGGACACCGCGGCTGGCAGCTTGCGCCTTCAGCGGGCGGACCGGCAGGAGGCGAAGTCCTTTACGTTTCACAAGGCGTGGGCGGAGAGAGTCGGGCGATTGGCTGAAGGTTCGAGCCTGCAAGACGTTCACCCTTTGCTGGCTGAAAGGGAAATGAAGGCATGAACATGGTATGCTAAGTCCAGCAACGCAATAGTTTGAGAGGGTTTGTGGGGCACTTTTGGGTTCGAGGGGTACCTTCCAATTCCTCGGCTGCGGCGTCGGTGGCGTAGGATTTTGAATCGCTGCGGCTCTCACTTGGCTGTTGACCCCAGATTCGTCAACCCATGTTTCTGGGGGACACTTTCATTTCCATTCTTTCCATAGCTCCTTCTTTCTAGAACACCTCCAGACACCCAGGGAAAACAGCCAGTTCTGAAGAAGAACGATGGTGGAAACGAATGGGGAATCATACCCTAAAAAGGTGCTCCCGCGTAGTGAGCCATTTCTTGTGGCTGTGTGTCTTTTTTATAGGGGACCCCGCCCAGAAAAGAAAAGAACAGAAAGTGGGTGTCCTGCTGGTTTTCCTCCAAATCCACCAAACAAGGTGCACGCCTAACAAGACAAACCCATACTTGCCTTTGGGTGCTAGGCACTTCAACATGCGAACAGGATGGGATGCTCAAGTTTAATTTGTTTTCTGGACGGATTGACAACATCCGGCCCGATTTGGGGCCATCCCTCCTGGCAAATTGGAACGAGATCACATATCCAGCGCGTCAACCAGCACAAGCAAAATGAAGGTTCCTCCTTTGGGTGGTTTGGAGGCGAAGTGGATGCCTTCCCAGTCGGTTTCAACCAGAACCAGGGGTTCAAGCCCTTCGCACCAATCCAAGCCACCAACAAGTGTATTTAAGATGAAATGTCATTTGCCGACCAGGGGATTGAAGTTTTGTTGATTTCTGCTCAATGTGACTAGTTGTATAGCAATTCAGAACTTTTGTACATTTCGATACACACACACACACTGGAATTCCGACTATCTCATACATTCATTACCTCATATATGTCATATATATATATATCATCATTGCTTTTTTTCCCTTGTTTCATGGAGATCCCTTGGCAGTCTGGGTCCAGATTGTCATAATCTCCTGGTTGATTTGGTTCCACTTCGCTTGGAGGTCTTCGACGAGAGCTGCGGGCAGCAGCAGCTCTTCAACGAGTTGGGCCCGGACTTGGTGCAGTGCATCTTGGAAGGCCGGGCGAAATGGGCGGTTTGGGCGGTTTTTTGGATTGTTTAGACAGGTAACCTGCTTAGACTGGGAGGCTGGGTGATTTGGGTGGTTCTTTCCTGGGGTAAGCCGTTCTAGACTTTGGGGTGGGCTCAATATGAAAGAGAATCTGAGTATGATGTGTTCTGTTTGTCTGAGAAGGGCCAAGTTAGGCTAAGGCCTAGTTTAGGATCTCCGTGGAACGCGTTAGGATTTCGGGTGGTTCTTTAGGACCTTGCACCCCCAAGCGGGCCTTTTTTTTACCCAAGAGACGAGGAACGTTGGCGGCCGATGGTCGACCCTTCCAGGCTTTGGGAGCCCTGCATACCCAGTTTTTCAGAAAATCCCCCCCCCCCGAAAATCCCCGCATTGGTTTGTGTGTGCCCGGCAAAAATGGGGTTTGCCCCTGAAAGACTTGGCTCCCCAAGTCTGCCCGAACTAGTTGAAGTGGGCACGCTGAGTCAGAGCAAGGGCAGTCATTGGCTCTGATTAAGTGTGGGGTCCTGCTGCAGGTACAATTCATTTGTGAGACTGGACTAGAAACGCGCAAATGTACCAGCGCAAGGCTGGTTCCAGAGTAGTATCAGCAATGCTCAGACTAATACTGCTACTAAACCCACAAGTAATAATTAATCAACTCAACACTGTTACTCAACCAATACTAAAGGGCTAATAGACCAGACACGCAAAACGTGAACCAACGCACAACCGATTCCAAGCTATGTAGAAGCAACAATGCTTGGGTTTGTTGGGGCGAATAGCTATGTATATATATATATATACATGTATATATTACATACATATATATATATAGGAGTATACATATATACATATACATGCCACTTGTTCCGGGACCCACCGCAAAGATGCAAAGGAGATCCTTCACAGGGCCTTGACATAATGGTGAAATAGTTCCTTAAGAAAGGCATGAAAGGAATTCCTACTTGGAAAGCAATCCCTGTTTAAGATCTCATTCACAATAGAATGTTGAATTCTATTAATTTCGAGCTAGAACCCTGCTCAGAAAGGAACACCAATTTAAAGTCACATTCAACACGAGATTAATAATTGAGTTCTTTAAATGTTTATTTGACATCCTGCTTGGAAAAGAGTTCCCATCTGAAAGCTATCAACATAAGAACTCTATTTAAATTATATTTGAAACCTTACTTGGAAAGGAGTTCCTACTGCCATTAAACATCTACTTCAAGATAAAACCCAATTGAACCTGAATGAACGTCCGACCTAAACTTAAAGCCTTGCAATGCAAAACTTGCAAACCAAAATAGAGTTACACTGCCCTTGATGTTGTTCCCCGGTTTGTCCACTCCGTTTAAGGGGCAAGCAGTTTAGAAGGAACAACCAGCTTGTCCGTCCTCACTAGATGCATAAACTCTAACACAAATCCTACTTAAAGGAATTCCTAGCAAACAGATTCTGCAAAAACATATTTTGAATTGAACTCGAATGGGAGACCTTGTGAAACTTGAAGCCTTGTGACGTAAAACGTGCAAACCAATGGGCTGACATAGTAGATATTTTATCGGCATTTCTTTCCCTTCAAGGGGCAGGAAAACCAGCTGTCTTTCCTCACAAGATGTTATTTATATTCAATGAAATACAGGCCTAGTCTTACTTGGAAAGGAATGCCTATTTCAGAACAATCTGCTTAATCGAAATCTAATGAACGTTCTGCTTACGCGTCAAGCCTGGCAGTTTGGAACTTGTAAACCGCTAGAACTGCAATCGTATGTTCCCTGCATTTCTATTGGATGCTCACTCCTTTGCAGGGGCAGACGAATGAGAAGACACGACCAGCGTGTCTTCTGTTGTTAGATTCTATTTAGAGTCTAGCTAAATTCTAAAATAATTTGCTCGAAAAGGAACTTCTGCGGAACATATACTTCAAACGCCTAGGAAGTCTATTTAAGCTAGTTGGATGGAAACAACAGTTTGTCTTTCCCTATGGATGGAAAGGAATTCCAATCCAAACTCAGAATTCTAGTCAAATTAAATCATAAGAACAAACCAGCTTGTCGTTCGATTCCAATAAAATTCCTAGATGAAAACGATGTCCTATTTAGACTCGAATTCTATATAAGAGTTCCAGTTGACATCTAATGAAAGTCCTACTTAAACGTGAAGCTTTGCAAACCAACAGATTTGAACTTGTCTTTGCCCTGGATGTCTCTTTTGGGTTTTCACTCCTTTCAAGAGGCAAATTACTAGACGAGGGTGACCACAGATGCTCGCAGTGGCTGGTCCTCTCCCCAGAATCCAGAAAAAACGGGAGACACCGACAACCCAAATGGAAGAAAAACTGATCTGAGTCCTCCAGACTGAAGGTCCCTCTAGAAGATGAGCCCCACACCAGAAAACCAATCCGGGTTTAGACGCATGCTGGAAGTTCCTACCCTTCTGGCCCCTGTGTTTATGTCTTTCTCAGGTTTGGGGCCCATCTTCTGGAGGACCCTGTTTTTTTTTGTTTGGTTTCTGTGTTTGCTTTTTGTTGATATGTGTTTTCCTCTTTTGGTCTGGGGCTTGGGGCCCTTCCAGAGGACCTTGATTCTTCGTCAGTGTGGCTGATGTTTGCTCCGTTTGTTTGGGCCTGTTCTAGCTCATACATACATGCATTACATTAGATTATATTGACCTGCATGCGACAAGCACGCAGGCACATATATGTGTATATATATATGCATACATGCATGCATACATGAACACGAACACATGTACGTACATACAATAAAAAGCATTACACCACAACAGACTACACGACATTAGAGAAGAGTACATGGCATACATACATACATACATGCATGCATGCATACATACATGCATACATACATGCATACATACATACATGCATACATACATACAGAAACACATACATACATAAACACACACACATATATACATACATACAAACATACAAACATACATACATAGATACGTACATACATAAGCACGTAAACACATAAACACATACATACATACATACATACATACAAACATACATACATAGATACGTACATACATAAGCACGTAAACACATAAACACATACATACATACATACATACATACATACATACATACATACATACATACACACATACACACATACACACATACACACATACACACATACACACATACACACATACATACATACATACATACATACATACATACATACATACATACATACATACATACATACATACATACATACATACATACATACATACATACATACATACATACATACATACATACATACATACATACATACATGCATACATACATACATACATACATACATACATACATACATACATACATACATACATACATACATACATACATACATACATACATACATACATACATGCATACACACATACAATCATTCATACACACATATACACATACATACACACATACAAGCATACATACATACATACATACATACATACATACACACATACATACATACATACATACATACATACATACATACATACATACCTACATACATACATACATACATACATACACACACACATACACACATACATACATTTAGACGTGTTTATTTATACCTATATCAAAAGATACAGCACAAACACACACACACACATGCCTGGAGAATCACACATGCGTAGGTGTATTTGCATATGTACACATATGTATGTTCAACTACATAATATATACACATTCATGTGCAACCTGTTCACATTTCTTGGCATATGTGCGACTTCTGCTGACCCCCCGCCCCTTTATGGGCCCGCCTTTTGCTTAAGCATGTCTCACGTCCCAAGCAGACCATTTGGCCCTCCAGAAGTGCACATGTTTCGTCCCTTTGCAGGACTTGAAAGTTTCTGAGCTGCGGCATGTGTCAGGCTCCAACTGGTGTTCAGGGCACTTTAGGGTCGCACACCGCACCAGTATGCGAGTGACAGACGCAGAAGCATCACGCGTTTGCTGGTGGGCCCCGGGGGTGCCATATATCTTGCATATACACATATAAATGCATCATAGATACATATACGTATATTCTTCTTTTCTCAGCAAATTGGAAAGGCCACCCCTGCGAGGCCACGATGCCACAGTCATCGCCATGGGCACAACCGGCTCTGGGAAGTGCCCTGGGCGCATGGGGTTCTTTCGGTTTTCCGGGCTTCACCTCCTGAAGCAGACGAGAGGGTTCCTTCTGGTTCCTTACCTTCCGGGAACCCAAAAACCACTGGAGGTTGAAATTGCAGGGGGGCTTGAGCAAACGGAAATGGAAACCAGCAAGCAGTGGAAGGTTGTGTAGAGGTTCAAGTCTGGCCAAGGTTCGACCCCTTTGTTTTCTCTGGAAAGCACCGGGGGGAACACCAGACTTGGGAAGATGAAGGGTGTGTTTGTGAGAAAGGCGAGGTTTGCTTCCAAGCCTCCTGCTCACCGCTTTTTCTTGAAACGAAACTGAGGCTTGGCGAACTGTTGAGCCCGAATTGTTTCAGCAAGGGGCCCAAAAAAGGGCACCTCAAATGGCAGTTCTAGATTTTTTTCGAAGGAGGCCTTGATTTCGCCAAACTGTCCAACGGCAACCTCTGGTTTCCAACGGCAACCTCTGGTTTCCAGGCGCACGGTGAAAACTGAAGATGCGCGGTCGCCCACCGGACATGTGCGCCAAAGAATCGCTCTGAAAGGGGATGTGTTTTGTTTTTCTCTTTTTTTTAAGCCAAGATGTCACCCTTAGCGCGGCGGGAACGCGGCGATTTGTGCGATTGCGATGTGCGATTTCTGCGAGCCCAAGGTGAATCGCAGCGATTTGGGGAATAGAAGTTAGTTTCAGGGGATATGTGTTAAGCTTGGTTGGATATGGTTGGGTGTCGAAGCAGAAAACAATTTTCATCAGGGTAAGGCAAAATGGGTTTGGGAGTGATGTTTGCTTTTGTGGTTGTGGTTTGGCTGGGTACACAGAGAGGCGGCAGGTGCGGCAAGGCTCTAGAAACGATTTTCGTCTGGGGAAAATGGGTAATAGTTGCAGGCCGAAGCAGCAATTCAGAGGGCGACTGGGAATCGAGGAAGATCCTTCAGACGCAAAAGCTTGTGGCTTCAGATATCACTTCTGGCCCTTTCCCGTGCAGAGAAAGCAAGGCAATGTCAAAACCAATGCTTTCTGCGTTTCGCAATGAGAGCCCCTAAGCAGCAATTCAAAGCTAGCGATTTCAAATCGCTGCGTTTGCGATTCCCTGCTTGTAACCCACAGCGATCTGAAAACGCAGTGATTTGCGATTGCGAGTTTGCCTCGCTAAGATGTCAGCTGCGGCGAATTCCGTGCGGTGTGTATGTGCAACAAAGTTGAGGGTTTGCTTTCCAGATTTGGAAGCTAAAATGCTGTGTAAAGGATGTGTCGCGTGGCACCTTGAGCAAGTGCTTCCAGCTTAGTTTCATCCAGTCACAATCTGAGAAGCTCAGATCCTATTTAACAAAATGACCTTGACCCTGGCAGGTTGAGTATCAAATGGACCACTTGCAGATGAGTTTCCTCTTGGGAGCCTCGCTTGAGGAACCTTTCTGTCGTGATGTCTAAGGGGAGTACCGCTATAAAACAGCAGCTAGAACAGCGAAGCATTGCATGTGAGGAGCAAGGAACCCCCCTTCCCGCAGCCGAATCGGGCAACATTGGAGGCCAAATCAAGCCAAATAGGGCCAGGAGGGTGGATGGCGGTCTTTAGTGAGGTTGGCATTCTTGAATTCAGGCGAACAACCCTTTCGTTCGAGCAATTTGGAGACCCCCTTTTCAATCGTGCAGAGCTCTCTGTGGTAATTTTGAACGAGACACGCCAAGCCTACACTTCCCTGAGGACATCCAGTTGGATGAATCTATGAAGTAAAACTGTTCTGACAAAACATCACCCCCCCCCCGTTCCCCAAGGCTCATTCTTACCCTTCAACCAGTTTTTTGGTTTGGCTGCCGGTCTTCTCAAGCGGTGGGGGGGCTGCTAACCCTCAAACACAAATCAATCCCCTTCTGAGGCCCCTTCTGGCTGAATATTTCAGGTTTGAACCCCTGAAGGTTGCACACGGACAAAAGGGCTTGGATTTGTTTGTTCGTTCGGTTGCATTACATAATACGTATATGGCGCAATGTGCGCAGGCGATGTTTGGGGCCCACTTTCTACTGTGCAAAAGGGTTTAGCCGGATTTTCTTGGCGTGAGAATTCAATATCCAGCAACCTGAGCCACAATCAAAGTCCGAGTAGGTGAAGAAAAGGGAGCGTCCCAGCAATTTTGTTGTGAATATTCGGTCTTTTGATTCTTCATGGGTTTGGGTAGTCCTTGAATGGCAGGTTTCGATTTGTGACTCGAGGCTCGAACCTGTCTCCAGTGTAGGTTTGGCGGAAAACGTCCTGAGGTAGTGGCCTCCTCACAATTGGGGGGAAGGTTTTCCTCTCGGGATCTTCAGTTTTAGGTTCTTGTCATTTTGGCTTTGATTTGTTTTTCCCGGTTTGTTGGAAGGAATTTATCTTTGATTTGTCTTTCCGCTTTTTTTGGAGGGGTGGAAATGATAAATGGCGGTTTTGGACCCCGCTCACCAGCAAAACGATGAAGTTTGCCGCAGCCGCAATAGCCACATGTTTCAAAATGTGGCCCTTCAACCCTAGCGCCGTCCAAGGTGACGAGGGGATCACAAGGGCCCGTGATCTTTAGACTTGACACGTTCAGGAAGTGCTAGATATCTCTACCAACCATACCGATGCGGGAGCAACAAATTAAACTTGAGGGCATAGACACGTGGGTCTGATTGCTTGTTGACGGTACCCTTTTGGGCTTGGTTGAAGCAGACACCAAAGGGAAACCATCAAAGTTGCGGGATCCTACTGTGGATGGACAAAATCCTGCATCACCCAAGAAAGCCTAAAATGGTTTGATTCCTTTGTAAATACCAGCAAACACTGGTTTCCGGTTTCAAGTAGTGCGAAATGGATTTCGCAACAATCCGTATGTTTGAGACAGACTCGCATCGATTTGATGAGTTCAGCTCATCTCGCCATGAGAAAGGTCCTTTACTTGGGGATCCAATTCTTAAATCAGATTTTGGATTTGTATTAAACTACTGCAGATATTGTACTATTAGGCGGAGCTGCTGGACCCAGTATTTTCTCTTGTATTCAGAAACCATCCTAGGGTACCTGGACCCTTTGGGATACCATCCTACTTGGGTCGATTCCGGCCAAAACCGCCCACCTCGACCTCGACCACGACCCTTTGGGATACCTCTCCTTGGGCCCTTTCAAATACCATCCTGCGATTTTCTAGCAAGTGAGTCCTTGGAATACCTTTTCGGGATACCTTGGGAAAGTGCCCTCGATTTTCCTTTGGGATGGGCAGTTTTTCTGGGACTCGATCTTCCGGATTTGCCAGTGAATTGGATATCCTTGGACCTTTTCTGCCACGAAGGCCCTTTGGATTCGGCCCAGGTCCGCCAGTCTCTGGGGCGACGAAACGAATCGCGCTGGCCTGGCGTCGCTCTGCGGGCGGCACCTGCTGGCGGCCGCCCAACGGAGCGGCAGAAGCTGGCGCGTCAGCGGCTCGTGGCTGGAAGCTGGGGATTGCAGCTGGGGGGAACCCAGATGATGTATGTATGTGTATATATATATATATCTACACCTGTGTGTATACTTGTAGGTGTATATATATATATATACATGTGTGAACATCAAAAAATGTGTGTGTGTATATAGAATATGTATATACACATATATCATTATTATATATATATATATGTATTTTTATTATATATATATACATATATATTATTTTTGTTAAAGTTGGATTGATGTTGTAAATACCTGAAGACCTGTGTGTGACAGCGCGGCACTGTTGTTTCCAGGTGGCAAGCTGTAGCTCTACTGTATGTAGGCTCAAGGCCTTGATCATACAGATGTGCAAGGGCATGTACAAGTGAGGATGCATATTAACACCCCACCTTGGATTGATGTACCTAGACATCAAGACAAACAGTTGTGCTCTAGCTTGTCGAGGTGATGTAAAATTGTTAGCAGCTCTACTGACTGTTTCAGTTTGTACAAAGGTTCCGAGCGGCTGTGCAGACTGCAAGTGTGACATGATGTCAGCAAGGTGTATCTGCAACACCTTGTGTCCACAAATCCGGTGTGCCAAAAATCGGCAATCACTGTGTAAGCAGTGTGGCTCCCTGCTTCACTCCTGTAATGTACTCGTTGTACACCTGTGCCTTGGTCGCAGCATAGTTCATGTAAAACAGATGCTGCTGCTCGAGGATGTAGTCAATGTGGCCCGGATGTCCTGGCACTGCCTGTCCCTCAATTGTGCCACGTGTGTTGAGACTGTTTGCATCTTGCATCGAGATGTGCCTCGCCAATGTAACCTGATGTGCAGGTGGCAGATGTTTGATGCTGCCAACTCCCATCAGAGACAATGCCTGTGCCACTGTGGCATGTCTGCGGCATGTGTCCTCATCTGTTGCGAGTTGCCCAAGGTTCACGCAGGCGTTGTGGGACCAGATGTACCCTTTGTTCCAGTTGAACTTCATGTAGATCCCGAGCAGGCCATTGTTGCCGGTGTACTTGAAAACCTGATGTTTAGACAGCCCGTCTTGTGTCTGCATCCATGTCGTGTTCATGTGAATTTGCATGTGTACTGCACTGTAGCCCCGATTGAAGAAATTGATGTAGCCGCGGGATGCCCACTCGGCAATGTGCCTCGCATCCAGCTGTACCGTGGCCACAATGAAGGTGTCGAGGTGCTGTGTCCTGCATGTTCCGACAGAAATGCAATTCAGAAGGGTTGTGACAGCCTCGAAAGGGGAACTGTTCAACACGATGTACTCGACCTCTGGGCATCTTGCCCAGCCATGGATGTGTTTCAGCTCACCGTTCTCTGTCCAAGATGTGAACTCCTCAAATGTCATTGCAATGTACATGATGTTGGTCTTGTTCTGGATGGTGTCCATGTGGACCCCATCCAATGTACGCAAGGGCTGTTTCCCGGTGATGTTCTCCTCGGTGTAGCCCAAAGACGTAAGGCTCATCGCGTCCCATGTCCTCGCCACTGTGACCTCTGTGGCCGGGATGTACTCAGCGATCCTTGTGAGACCTGACATCGCCATGTGTACCTTCAATGTACAGGGGTGTGTCTCCACAAAATGTAAAATGGCTGCGACATGTATCAAAGACATTGCCTGAAACATGTATGAAACCTCATGCAGTAAAAATGTACCCGAGGATGTAAAAGATGTGGTCAAAGATGAACTCAAAGTTGTGTACCCAAAACCAGAAAGGTTGTATCATCTCCAGGGCAGGTCCATGGCTGTACCTAACCTAAAGCTAAAACATGTGTGCCGGCTGTTTAGTTGTGAAACATACACGTGTGTCAACTGTGCAACTGTTGTTTAACATACTGTGCAACTGTGTGAAACTGGTGTTGTGTGGCCTCACAGGCCAACGTTGTACAAGTGCTTGTTGAGTGTGTCGCAGCTGACAAACTTTGTCAGCAGGTCTGATGGGTTGTCTTCAGACCTCACTTTGTGCATTGAAATGATTTTGCTTTTGACAAGTTGTTGTATGAAGAGGTGTCGTAGCTCGATGTGTTTTGCTTTCTTTGATGTGCCTTCTCTCATTGATATTGATTTTGCTGCACTGCTGTTTGTGTGTATCCTGATGTTGATGCGTACCTCAAATGCTTCTTTTATGAAGTTGCCGATGTAGAGGCTTTCCTGTGCTGCTGTACCAATTGCGTACAGTTCTGATTCTGCTGATGAAAGTGCTATTGTGGCTTGTGTTCTGCTGCCATAATGTACTGCTGCTCCAAAGAAGTACAGTACAAATCCTGTTGTGCTCTTTCTCGTTGTTTCACATGATGCCCAATTGGCATCTGTGTATGTGTCAATGTTGAGTGGTATTCGCTTGTCCTGTGTTTGTATCTTTGGTCGCAAGTTGTGTCGCATGTACCTTGTGCCCTTAAGGTACCTGATCATGTGCTTGAGCTTCTTGTTGTCAAACTGTGTTGGTGCTTGTAATGATCTTGCTAGTTCTTTTGCTCCATAGCTGATGTCTGGTCGTGTGTATGCTAGCCATTGTATCTTGCCAACAAGCCGCCTGTATCGTTTGTGCTGTTCGTGGTCAAGTGGTGCTTCGTCTTCTGCTGTACCTTTCATGTGTGATACCAGGGGTTGTTCAAATCACAGCCTGTGAGGTTCGAAGAAACTGTGTTCTGACATCACTGGCCACCACAGACATGGCACTAATCAGCTGCGCCAGGTTCAGAAAAATAGACTTCATCAGGTCGGCTTGCTCAAAAACCCTGTGCAACACAGCTGTTGCCAAACAACCCTTATTTATGGTCTATTTGTTTTTTCACCACTTGGGCCCCCGAAAGTATGTATTGGAAATAAGGCCTAAATAAGCCTTATTCGTGGGCTATTTCGACACTGGGCATGTGCAATTTTCCTGTCCCAGTGGGGGAGGGAGTGTTGGGGGGGGGGGGTAGTGTAAAACCCCATGATTGTTGGTTGTTGTCGTATCCTTTTCCTTTTCCTTTGGTGTTGTATCCTTTTCCTTTGGAGTATCCTTGTTGTCCTTTGAAAGGATTTCCTTGTCCAACCGGTTGTTGATTGTACTTACCTTTTCCTCCTTTGTAGTTGTTGTATCCGAAGTTGTTGCCGTAGCCGCCGTAGCCTTTGCCTTTGTTGTGTTTTCCTTTGCCTTTGTGCTTGCCCTTCTTTCCTTTTCCTTGTTGTACCATGTTGCTCCTATGTCCATTGGTGCCGGTCCTTGATTGCTGTTGCTGCCTGATGTGATTGACTGTAGTCTGGTGAATGACGCTGTTGCTCTGTAGTATTCGGTCACCATCGATCTGATCTGTGCGTATGTTGTGATGTTTCCTGCTTGTAGCTGCAAATGCTGCTGTAGTGGTCCTTTTGTTTCATTGAGTAGCACTGCGATTTTGATTGCATCTGGTAGTAGTGTGTTGTTGTCTTGTTCGTACCTTGAGAGTTGGAACTCCCATGTTGTAAAGCTCTCTTCGAACTTCTGTTCATCAAGTTGTGGTTTGAGCAGCTTTGTAAGGTATCCAATGCTCCTTGTACCAAGAGGTATGGAGTGCCTTGCATGTACAAGCCGCCATGTTTCGAATCCGTTGCCTTGCGTGTTTTGTCTACAGATTGTAGACGCTGGTCCATCGCATGTGCTCACTAGGATGTAGTGCAAGTTGTTGCTCAGTTGTATCCATTGCTCCTGTTGGTTGCTCTGACTGTCTAAGCAGTCTGTTGTAGTCTGGGTCTTGTAGTCCCAGGTATGCTGTCATCTTGTACTTCCATTCTTCGAAGGTGTTGTATTCGCCATTGAAGCGTGGTGGTGATATCTTGTACTTGTGGATTCCTTCTAGCTGCTGCTGTTGTGGTTGCTGATCTTGTTGTTGCTGTGCCATGTTACTCACTACTGTGTACCTCAACCTGTGAGTGCGTGTTGGAGCTCACCCTGGGTAGTGTGGTAGAATCGTGTACCAGGGATCACTGCTCCGCTACCATGTTAAAGTTGGATTGGTGTTGTAAATACCTGAAGACCTGTGTGTGAGAGCGCGGCACTGTTGTTTCCAGGTGGCAAGCTGTAGCTCTACTGTATGTAGGCTCAAGGCCTTGATCATATGCAGATGTGCAAGGGCATGTACAAGTGAGGATGTATATTAACAATTATATATATGTGTGCCCGGGGGTCCTGGTTTGGTTTGGACCATTGTCCATTTAAAGGGAGCCCCGAATGTCAGGTTCCATAGAGATTGGTGGGAGGGCATATACAATATAATGAGGTGTCCAAAATGAAATTGTATTTAAGGGTAGACTCCCCGCGGAGATGGGCCACGAACATAACGACATAGGACGAATCGGCTGCTACACGATGACTTTGTTGGCGTGGAACCCAAGAAGGGGATTCCTCTACCAGTCCAGTGCTGGTTCGTTGTTGGAATGACACCTCTTTCTTGAAAAGGTTCAAAGTAGACCCCAGGTTCCCCCAAAGCACGGAGCATTGCAGCGTCTGCTCTTTGGTCCGAGCTTTCACCTCTTAAGAATGGCGCCAACAGTGCAGCTCCTTGACACTTCAGGGCCACCTTTTTCTTCCCAAGTTGTTGGCCTTTGAACTGTTGGAGAAGATCTCCAGACTTGTGTCGGCCAAACCACTCATTTTCTCATCAACATTTGCATCTGTTTCAAAACGAGTTGCACGAGCTGTTGCCCCTTCAATGCAAACCCCCGGACCCTCCGTTTGAGCACCCTGACTCCTTGAAGCCATTTGAGGACATAGGCTCAGTCTTTTGAGAAGCGAAGCCCCCCTTAGAACATCAATTAAACACCTGAAAGGACACATTTGAGCCAGTTACAAGAAGCACATTTACCAGCTGTACTGAGGACATCTTCTGCGTCGAGGTCTTCGACCTCCTCGCAGAAGCCGCCGCTGGGAAAGACCAATTTGGTTGGCCTCAAAATGGGTTTGGCTACCCCTCCTCCAACTAACATGCACCTGTGGGGAGGTACCTGGAAGATTAATTTCCTTTTCAAGGGACGCCCTGTCAGTCGGAGGGAGGGGAACTCCCCCATTGGCTTCATTTGAACCGTCAGGATAAGCCACGTCGGACTGCTCTTCAAAGCAGCTCAAGGATTGTGTGGGTTTTCTCGATAGTTAATTGGCCTCTGAGGGTGGGCGCTGGGTGCCTTCAAATCCGCCCCAAACACACAGATCTGATTCTGAAAATCCGAAGCACCCCCCGAAACTGGGATTTTCGTGGTCAAAATTGGCCCAACAAAAATGTCCGCCCTCACAAAACACACCCATGTCATGCCGTAAGCCCACACTGTACGCTGAGATTGGCGAAATATGAACCGGAACCCGACCATATCCTTGGCACACTGGATCCCTGACGCCGAGTTCCGAGTAGTGGCATCCCAGATGAATTACATATCCGAATTCTTGGATTCGAATTTCGTCGAAGCCCATGTGCCTAAAAGGAACCCACCAGACATGTCCATCTGGGCATCCTGAACCTAGCCCCGGAGCTTTCTCGGCGTTTCTGGCGCGCAAGGGACCCCTTCTCCCCAGAAGCCGCTCTCCCATTTGGGCGTGCCAATGTTTTTTTGGGGGGGGCTCCCTTGGTGTTCTTTTTGAACCTGTGTTCTTTATGGTAAAATGTGTTTGGTCTTTCTTGAACTCACGAAAAGAACCCGGGTTTCAGGACAGCTTTCTGGAGCTGAGCGAGATCCACGGGGCGACGGTGGCGGAGGGAGCCACTGCAGTGGAAGTGAAGAACCCGGAGGAGTTGCAGGCCGAGTCGACGGGAGGGCTGGTTTCTTTGGGTTTGCTTTCGTCCGTGGCTTGTCTCACAATAGAACCCCCAGAATGACTGGTTTCATTTGGTGTCCCTTTCAAACCAAAGAGCTTTGGTTCCCTCAAAAAAGGACAAGCCACCCATGTGTGTTTCATCTTGATGACTTTTCCTTTTCTCGCCAAGCTGGGCCATTTCGATTGTTATGTCCTCATGTTTCATGTTTGGTGGAGTCTTCATGTTTTAGGCCAAGTTTTAGTCTTGTTGGGCCGAGGGTAGATTCTCTGGACACGGTTGTGGAAGTCACTCCTGCTGGGATACCAACGTGGGGCTTTCTCGTGAGAAGATCGAGCTCGCCCATCGGGGCCCAGAAGCTCTTCTCCGGAGATTCCTTAGTTCATGCTGGTGAAGTATAGTATGGCCACTAACCGTGGTTTAAACATTGCAGCCTCCTGAATGTCTAGTTCGGGTTCATTCAGAGAACCGCACTAGAGAATCAGAGGAATGACCTGAAATAAAATGACTCCCCACTGAAAGGGGGGAACTACCGATGGTTCATATGTATGAACTGGATCCATTCGAGTGACATCGAACATTGTCCTCTAAATGGAGGCTTCAAGGGAAACACTCCCCAAATTTAAGTTTGCGAACTCTTGGAACATGCTGCGATTTCAATGGTTCCCCTTGTTGTAGTGCTCCCCCATTTTGAGCAACCCAGAGCCCATACAAGTCTTTTCCCAACGGGTTGAACAGCTTTTGGTAGATTTCCTTACAGGACCTACCTTACTTTGCAGATCGCTGCCCCCCCCCCTGCCCCGGCTGGGGGTTCCTCCAGAAGCCCTCGACAGAGGCCATCCTGGACTTTGGCCTCCGCCGAAGCCAGGCGCATAGGGCGGCCCGCGAAGCCGCGCGTGGCTCGGCCACGCCGCTCTACTCGGATCGCGTCTTCGCGTTGACTGTGGAGACGCTCGACGCGGCAGGAAAAAACACCGAGGCTTGGTTGCTTTGGGACCATCCTTCGTAGCGGTTTCCGCATGGGGATTAGGGATTAGGAGTAGCCACCCCTCCATTTTGAACAGCCCAGAATGAAGTCTGGGTGCTGAACAGCGCCTAATTCAAATTTACCCCAAACGAGGAAAACAAGAAGGGCATGGGTCGTTTAATCTTTCCAGACCCCCTATTTAGCACCCTAGGAAGGATCTGCAGGAAAGTTCGCATAACCCCCATAACCCCCAGATGTTGAGGGTTTCTACGCTTCTACTGGGGTCTTTGTTAAAATGATTTTACACTTTAAGGTCCACTCAATGGACAGGAATCAAACATATGTTACATGTTTGGTTGGGTGGAATTATTTGGGTGCTACGTAGCACATATGATGTGTTCTATTTCCCGTGGGCGTAATTTATAATGGGATGCGGCATTTTGGTTAGTTTTCCAGAGTCCGATTCACCGAAGCGAGTCGAGTTCCAGTAGCAACAACACCATGTGTCAGAAATTGGGCGAAAGCCAACCCAAGCGACTTAATTAACACTATGGAGAGCTTGTTTTTGATGGGTGCCTTGCTGGGGTTGTTTTGAAGGGGAACCACCCATTTTGTGAGAGAAGTAACCTTGGAACCTTTTGTCACGCAGAACCGTTTCCCCATGTTCTTCTTGACCCAAGAGGGACAGCGTTCTGGTCAACACGCGAATCCTGGGCTTAGGGCAGTTCTCGGGCAGGTTCTTGGGAGGTTCCGGAGAGATTCCAATAAGAACGGCTGGCTGATGCTGATTGGGATACTTGAATGTCCGCTACTTACTAAGTAGGCTACAACCAAGGTTACAAGAGGTGCAACAGGGGTTAGTGGACTCATAACCATGGTTTAAACCTATGTCGGCAGACCATCCAACTCAGGAGTTCATCAGGCGCCTGCTGTTCGTGGAATGCAGCTCGGAGAGAAGAGTCACTACCAGGATCCCCTTGCCCCGGCCCCACATGGTTGGGAACCAATGGGGTGCCATCTCGGATCGTTTGGTTTCCAGTGCCCCAAACATCCGCGCATGTCAAGCTCACGGACACCGGGGAATACCAGCGATTCCGGGTACCGTGAAAGCATTTGACTTCATTCTTTCTTTCCACTTGGAGAGTTATAGTCTTTGTTGCTCTGTTGGGGCGACCTTTGCTTAGCTGTAAAAAGGCCTGGGGCACTCAAGCATGTTGACGACTCATACTCTTCTTGAGATGCCAACGCGATCGGATCGCGTGTGCCCGAAATTTGGGACATTGCAGGTGCGCGGCTGGACCTGTAAAGTTGGTTTTGATGGTGTTCGGTGGGTACAAATAGTGCCTGGCTCTTAATGAAACATGGGGGCGCTCAATACCCAATGGGATTCGATCCAATTGCGGGGAAAAATGCTTCAAAGAGTTTACAGCAACAGAAAGGACCCAGAATTCTTGCTGCCCAAAACGAGTGGACCTGTTGCGTTTCATTTCTAGTTGTCCAGTTTGGGCCTACATGGCTCTTTTTCCAGCAATCACGGAAGCGGAAAGAGGATGAGAGCTCCGTTTTCCAAGCCTAGTCTTCCAAGATGGGTGGAAAGAGAATAAGTTCACAGGGCTCCTTAAAAGATACATTTTGCCCATTTGAAACATGGCTTTTTCCCGCAAAATAAAGGGACACCACCATTTGCGAGGCAATGTTCAGGTGTATAATGTACGGATTCCCGTTTCAGATTCCAAAAGATGATCACATATGATCACACTGGATGTTTAGGTCCTCTGGTCCTCGGGAAATGGAACACGGCAATGGTTCTATCACTGAAACTACTGGGAAATGATCCCATGGGCGATTTTTTCCACGCCGCGTGGACTCTGTGCTCATGGCAACCATTTGGAACATGTTCCCAGAGTGTATGTCCAGGGCGCAGTGGACAAATCCTCAGAACGTGGACTTGCGATCCAATGAGCAAAGCGATGGGGCTAACGGCAGGCCTCTTGGTGTGTTTTGGGCAGTCACCATGGTTATCTAGTTCGTGGGCTCATAGCGGGGGTATGTGGTGCAAGTATGGTTTCTTCAAACTTGTTATAGAGTGAATTAGCGGATTGCCTCAGTCAACGATATTGCTGATCGTCATGTTTGGTTTCTGTTGGTCATGCTCAAACGCGAATTTGAAGATGCGCCTTGCATAAAACATGGGCATTCCATTTGTGCTTCAAACTGCCATTTGCTTAAAGATCATGTGTTATGTTCCCTGTTTCTTTTAAGGAAATCTATCACTGTTTTATGTTCCCGAATTGGTTTTAAAGGAATCTATCCTGTTTTATGTTCCCTAGTTGGCTCAACGGGGAATCTATCACTCTGTCATGTTGCCTTGTCTGTTTTAAGGGTATCTATCACTGTTTTAGGTTCCCAAGTTGGTTTCGAAGGACATCTATTGTCACTGTTTTGTGTTTGTTTGTTGGTTTTAAAGGCCATATGTCACTGTGTAATGTTCCCTTGTTGGCTTTAAAGGGAAGCTATCACTGGACATGGCTTCTCCGTGTTTCTTGTTTCCAGAAAACCTATTCGCAATAGGAAGTTCAATGGGACGCACATTGCCCCAAACCACTCCCCAAACATTAAAAAAAAGCTGGAAAAGATTACTTAACGCACCAATTGGACACGCCCCAAACAATTGGACAGGGTCATCCAGCGTACAGACCCCGAAAGTTCCATCGTTCGACGGCTTTGGAAGGGCAAGCCATACAGTAGGTGACTGGGTATTACCTCGGGTTGATGTCCTTTGGTTATTTATGGCTTGCCCGCAAGCACCGGGCAGGGACTCGGATATAACCCCCAGGAAGGTTTCTATCATGCGGACAGAATAAAGCCCCTGTCCCGCTGAGATACCGTGGTTGCACAGGAAAAGAATGGGCCTAAGGAAAGTCACCTTCCGGGCTAAGCAGGGGATGTTTCAAGCCACACAAAGGATAGGGGCCGCGCCTGCCTGGAGCATCTCTTGAACCGTCCCAGGCAAGGGCAGCGAGAGGATGCAGAAGGTTGGCAAGCACACGCATAAGGAGTCAATTTTTGCTAGGAAAGTTGGAGAAAAACCGCAGATGTTGGGTTCGTTCTCAAGGGAAGGGGGAAAACAAGGGGGCATTGTGGTGTTGAAGTGAAGACATGGCCACGGATGTTTGATGCGAACGCCCCTAACCTTGGGGGATTGAATGGGGAAATCGGATTGTTCGAGCCTGAGAATCGTTGGACCTCAAGGGCTTTTCTTTTGAGGTTCAACCATGTTGAAACCCTTCCGATGAAGACCCAGACCCTCCAAAGGGTCCAGGGATGCTTAGGGTGATTTCACCGCGAAACTTACAACAACACGCCTCTACAACTCACATGTCACAACTGTTGGACCGCCCGCAAGGTGTTTGAGCTACTGAGACCACGCACTTCCATGGCGCTTTTTACACACATTCATGGATTTTAAGTGTTTACTTCCAGGCCTTTTCAGGGTAGCTGAGTCTCACGACTTGAGTGAGAAGAAGCCACGCACATGTTTGCAGATTCATTGATTCACGCGGGTGGTGGAAGGCCTTGAGGACTGAATAGGTGTCCCTGATCTTGCTGGGTCCCAGGGATGGGACTCATTGCTAGCTTCCTGCACTGGGATTCCAGGGTTGATTCCCAATGATTGCCTAGAGTGTATCTTTTTGAGGGTACTCTTTTTCGGGTTGGTTTGAAAGGGACACAAAAAGGGGAACACACACACACTTGTCTTTTTCCCCAACAGCTGAAAGCTTTGGGGTCTCAGCCCAGACAGGCTCCGGGGTGGTCCGGGGCGGCCCTGCGGTAAGGTTCCACGAGGGTTCCACCAGAGTTCCACGAGGGTTCCACGAGGGTTCCACGACGTTCTGCGATGGTGCGAGCATTAAAAAGAGCACCGCATGCTGTTGGGGATATCACCTGAGCTTATTTGTTTTTGTGTGCGTTTCCCTTTCTTTCTTATTCCCCAACAGCTGAAAGCTTTAGGGTCTCAGCCCAGATAGGCTCCGGGGTGGTCGGGGCAGCTGAGGTAAGGTTTCACGAGGGTTCCCCAAGGTTATCAGGGTTCCACGAGGTTCTGCGAGGGCTGCGGGGTGGTCCGGGCTGGCTGTGAGGTAAGGTTCCACGAGGGTTCCACCAGGGTTCCACCAGGGTTCCCACAAACTTTCCACAAGGGTTCCACAAGGGTTGATGGGGTGGTCCGGGATAGCCCTGAGGCAGGGTTACACAGGGTTTGACAAGGGTTTCACCACAAGGGTTTCACCACAAGGGTTCACAACTTGACAGAGTTCCGCAACCACAGGAATGGTCCAGGGTTCCACAGGGATTCACATGGTAGATCATAGTCCGGTTCGTCGTAATGAGGGGTCGTCCAAAGGATTGGATATCGACTTGTCGTGTGTGTCCGCTGTTGCATCTCACATAGAACTCCATCTCTGAATCAACATAGAATCTCTTGCCGTCGGGCCTGAGTGCATTTTGTGCGGATCTGGTGTTGAGCTTATCGATCCATCGATTCCTTGGAACAATTTCTCCCCGTGCCTTGCGCTCATTATATGTCCCGTCCACGGATGGAAATACGAACGCAATTTCGAAACATGATTTTCCATAGCTCGGGAACATAGCCATCAAGAGAAGTCCTGGCTTATTTCCAATGAAGTTCCTGGCATGTGTGATGCAGGTCAATGCGTCATAGAGCTCAACGGATCCATCAGGACCCATTTCCACCTGCCGTTTGCATTCCTTATGGATTCCATGCCTTGGATCATGTCGAAGACATCCGGAAAACGATCTGCTCATTCTCTCAATTCGCCAGAGGATGAGATCTGTGATCTGTTTCGCCTTGGATGGATCCATGCGGAAGTATTTGCAAACCTGTTCGACATTCTGGACGGTCTTCTCGAGATCAATGTTGCCGTTGTGGCATACCATGGGGATGATGTCGGTTCCGTAAACTTCGGATTGAGCATTGGTGTAAGCAGCAGATGCTGTAGACCTTCTTGATGAAGTCCATGTATTGCTTTTCTGCATGAGGTCCTTCACCTTGGAGTGTTGGATGCCAGTAATCGTTGAATCTTGCCTTCAACCAGAGTACCTTAACTCCATGTGGTCTCTCGTGCTCAGGAACGAAGTGGAAGTCCGGATTGACATCGAGGATGGTTGAGCATTCCTTGTAGTATTCGTGCACAAAACTCAGGAATTTTGAGTTTCCAAAAAGGCCTGGGTGCACGGATTCCTTCTGGAGGCTGATGTTCGTATCCGATCCATATGTTACAAACCACCGATCGTTGGATGTGAGAACAGGCCGCATCACTGGTCGCCTTGGAAGTGCAGGTCGATCACCAGGATGATTGTCGGATTCCGTCTCGTCATCCAGGGTGTTCTTTGGTGCTGGCTTGACCTTGGAGACAAGCCTCAATGTCGGTGGCGGTGACTTTGGAACAAGTTTCGGATGTGGCATCGCCTTTGACAAAGGCCTTCCTTCGAGAGGATGCCCTTCTTCATCTGAATCATCATCATCGGAATCTCGATCATAATCAACCTGCTCCATGTTGACATTCTCGGGTTGTTGAGAGGCGGATGGATTCTCATCAGCGACTTGCTCCATGGGGCAATCGGATGTCTCATCTTCCTCATCACGAGCAGGGGATTCCTTCAATGGTGACGCCCGCCTCTTGATCATCGGCTTTGGCACAGGTGCCGCATCGCCGGATCGTCCAAACATCAGGTTGAGGACGTTGAGGATGGGCATGTCAACGAGGTGAATCGAGCATACAAGATTTGCAAAGGTCGGATTGGTTGTAAACCGAAAGTGGCTGCGGAGGCAGACACATATTTCTTGAGATTCAAAATGGGTCAAGTGCAAACACGCGCATCACGGAATTGAGGAATTGAACATATGCAAGACTGAAAAACTCATGCATCAGAATTCGTGGACATGCGGATCATGCCCAGGTTCCCCAATAAGCAAACATGGATTCTGCTATACCGACTCCTGCAAAGGCAATGATGTCGGGTCCGTGCTTCGTGTTGTGTGCTAGCCACTCAACCAAGAATGCCTTGTTCTGCAACATGGTACGAAAGGGTGGATGTGCATCTACATTCAAGAGATTGCCGGTGAGGACGGCCTTGATGAGCTCGTCTGCTTTAGCTGAATGCTTGGTCAGCGAATCTGCCAGACAATCTTCACTTCGTACATGTGCAAGGTCGTGCATCTGTCCACTGTTGCTTTCCTTTCTCAACATCTGGATCAAATGCATTGTTTCTTTCTGTTCCGGTTGATGTGTTGTGGATGCTGTGGTGACAAGATTGTTCGCATCAGTGCGGATGTGTACGTCTGCAATTTCGCCCGTTATGTCTGACCAGAGACCGCGAAGAAATAATGCTGAACCGTAACAACACATTAGTCCGTGCAACTCTGCAACAGTGGTGGACATGGTTGTGGCGGTGATCTTGTGCGTCTCATAGTCGACCAGTGAGCCTCTCGAGTTCGATGAGCCCTGGCGAAGATCTCTTCGTTCTGCAAGAAAAATAACATGCGCACGTTGGGATGACTTATCCTCGTTGTTGCGATAGGATGCATCTGGATAGCCACTATGCGTGTCTTGCCACGAAGGGGCCAGAATCTCATGCTAAGCGGAATGCTTTTGATGGTTCTGACTGTCTTATTAATGGCGCGAACGTCCTCAATGGTTGGTGATGATGCCTTGGATGCACACCTTGAGAATTTATAACCAATGTGGAATTGCGTTCGCAACTGTAACCAGTTGATCTGACCTAGGACACTTCTGTATGCAGTATGCATTTGTGGAGTAAGAGGAGCGTCGTCCTTCAGGTGTTTGTCAAAAGTGATCTCCTGCAGTTCGTCGATGGCAACGTTCTGATGAACATTGATGTACCAACCGTGCTTGTCATCTTGCTCCATTGGATGCGCTGTCCTACGAAGAGGCAATCATTTTTGTCCTCGGAACCAACCTGAAAATCTTTCCGAAGTCGTCCCATGATTTCCTTCTCGAACACGTCATCCCCCGTCATAAGAAGATCATCTACATGAAGAGACAGTGCTCCATGAACTTGTCGATTCTTAGCATTGTTACCAGAAACAGGATCCATCAGGTAATCAACTGCTCCTTCTAGATCGAAAGTAGTAGATGATTTCTTTTCACTCACGGAAGCTGCTTGCCGTAGTACACGTATGCACAACGGTCTGCCCGGGTTGGCACAAGTCCGTATGAACGGAGTGCCGAATCAAGGATGTTCCACCATCTGCGTGGTGCGTCATTCAGCCCATAGGCAGGCTTCTTCATGCGCGCTCCGATGTGTGGTGGATATCCCATTTCAGGAGGTATCTGACAAATGATGTCACGAGACTGGTCGTATGCTTCGTCTTGGAGAAATGCTGTCTTCAAATCCATGTGGAATATATTCCAGCCTTTATTCGAGGCTGCTTGGATTGCAAGGCGGAAACCACTCCTGGATGCTGCAGGACTGTCTGCCTGCTGATCATTCTTCTGCTTGTCTTGGAAGCCTCGGAGGACCCAGCGAGCCTTGGTCGTCAAGAAGTTACCATCCTTGTCTCGCTTCAGGGTTAGGACCCAGCGACCGGTGACCCAGTTCCTGACCTGAATCTTGCGTGTATCGGCTAAGTCGAACACTTCATTGTCATGCCATGCTTCTGATAAGCTCTTATTTCCGTGGCTGTAGCTTCCGTCCGCTTCTTGCCAATGAGTGCGGATGTGGATGAAGCCTTCAAAGATTCTTGCTTGGATGAGTACAGAACTAAGAGTGCACGGTCATCGTCGGTCATGTTCTTGCATAGCTGGTCAACATGATTCTGATCTGTGTATTTCTGATGAGAGAATCCGCATCGGGGCGATGGGCTGAAGGTCCCTTTCACACGTCCAAGAAGGACAGGGTTGCCTTCGATATCTCTCGGAACCGTAAAGGATCCGGTGTTCGCACAGATCTTCTGTTCGGCTGTCATGAGTGACCAATGCGCTTCATCTAGAACGAGATCAGCTTGGTGATCATCGTAGGATCTGGTCCTCTGAGAGTCTTCTGAATCTCCATCTTCCTGGTCAGTGTATCTCATGGTTCTTTCTGAACTTCCAGTGCCGGATGAGGTTGGAACATGAGGAATCAGCTCTTCCTCACTTTCATATTGGACCGGCAAATTCGCTGGATTGTTCGGATTATAATTGGATGAAGATGCAGGATCATGTCTGGGAGAATGCTCAGGTGACTCATCATTGTCATCTGGCTTCTTCTTCTTCTTCCCAGTCTTCTGCTTCTTTGATGGACTGCCGGTTGTTTCTTCTTGCGCAAGTGTTGGCAGTTCAAGATCTTCATCTTGTTCTTCTGCTTCGGGATTTGTAAGAATCGCAGGTGGTGAAGGTACCACGACAGTCGGAAGAATTGGCTGATTGCGACTGTGACGGCAAAGAGACATCACCCCCCAGTCGCTTGAGTCCACTTGAGGATGAAATGGACTGTTTTTGCCGTTTAAGCGCTGCATCTCCTCCGCCAGGCTTGTCGTGTGGCGGTAGTGGAGGATCCACTGGACTGTCTGGCGACACACTGCGTGGTGCTGGCGGCATGGGATGATCAGGCTGATGTGGAGGATCCGGAGGAGGATCTGACATGCTCTCGTCCGGAAGTGTTGGAGGTCTTGGATCAGGCATGGGATGGTCCGGTTGATCAGGTGGTTGCTGTGCGTCAGGTTGCTGAGGTGCATCCGTTGGATCCAATGGATCCGTCTCGATGGGCATCGGCTTGATGGCCGGCGCATCGGTGGACGACTCATGAACGGATGAAAACATCACAGCATGCCACGTCTTCGGATCATACCTCTCCCAATTGCATTTTGACGCAGGCAAGACCCAAATTCTATTCAGCTGATCAGGCTGCCAGAAGGATATGATTGCATCGTCCGGAGGTGACGTAATAGGCATATTGATGCCAATGGTGTGGACGTATGCAGCGCATGCACCATACTGAGTGGATGAGATGCACAGTTGTCTCAACTTCTTACAGCCGTTCCACATGTTCTGACATCGCCAGTCATTAGGATCTTGCTTGAAGATATCAATTTCAGTCCCAAGTGGGTACTGCTTCATCGTCTTCTGGAATTTCTGAACTAGCGGATCTTGGATGACTAATGGTTGAACGTCCTTGTTGAACGGCAGGTCTTGGATTCTGACTGCAAGACTGCTGCTGGTCATGTTGAACTCCTTGTCAATGGCTTCCATCGCAAGACTGCTGCTGGTCATGTTGAACTCCTTGTCAATGGCTTCCATCTCCTTTCTCAGGATATCAACCTGCTTCATGGTGAATGGTTCAAAAAGGTCCTCCAAGAGGTACACCTCATTGTCAAGCGGTTTCACCTGCAAGTGTCGTAAGATGATGTGCGCAAGATCCTGACAGAACTGGTAAGGATACACCTGTGCCAGTTTGGTTCTGCTTCCGAAGGTACCAGCGTTTCCCTCTAGGGGTTGGTGTTCATGCTTGTGGTCATGGAGATCATCAGGGAACAAGCACCTGATGTCATCCTTATGGCACCTGGACCATGGTCAAATATGCAGGTTGAATTTGTGGCATCCATTGCGCGTTCTCAGTTGAAGCACAGAAGATACTTCATTATCGAAAGTCCTCAGACATCCAGGATATGGTATCTGAAATGCATGCAACAATTGTTTTCAGACCCATCCGTGACCTGGGGAGATTTCCATTCCTGTGCATACGGACTGAAAGATCCTGAATCCGGGCTCAGAAGTCTCAAGCCCACGAGCTTCATGCACTGTTTACCTTCCGAGGTTATGAGACCGATCTTCAGAAGGTGTAAAAATTGTCCAGCTCAGTCGTCCCTTGGATGTCATTACATCGAATCCTGTGCGGATGTCCACGAGAGTCCCAACCTTAAGACCTGATAGTGCACAGCATTGACTGAATCTGGCACTTCCTGCAAAGATCTCGAGAACGTGGATCTTTCCCTTACGTACACAATTCCAATGTGCTTGTTCAGGAATGGATGTGAGGTCCTCGACGAACATGTTCTCTGCTGGATGAGGTACTGCAGGTTTTGGAGTTGTTTTTCCCGCGATACGTAATGGCACTGAGGATCTTGGCTTAGGAGCTGGTGCGGATGATTCCTTTTCCTGTTTGCTCCTTCTGCAAGGATTCTCGCTCTTCAGGTAACAGAAGGTCAATTCCGGGTTCCCCGGAGGGATGGTCTCATCCTTCCTGAGCTTCGTCATGTTAACCTTGATGAGTCGAGTCCCAAGATCAAGTCCTACCATCGCTCCTTCAATGGAAATGACTTTTCCCTTTAGCCATATTCCTCCCTTGCTTCCATCGGAACGAATCTTGGATTTGTCTTCCTGCCAGTAAAATACCTTGTCCTTCACCTGAAGAGGCTTTGAACTCATTTGAAGATTTTGAAATCCTTGAAGCCCTTCCTCACTCAACCCAGATGCCTTCTTCTCCTTCGTATTCACCTTGTTCGATGATGAAGAATGTGTTGCTTCGGTTGCCTCCTTGAGGTCGGATGGATGGATCTTGGATCGATGTCCTCGTAGTGATGAAGAGTTCATGGTAATGCGTCTTCAGCATCTCATAGGAATAATTCTCGAGTGAGATGTTTCTCAATGACATTGCACTTGTGAGTCTTTCTCTTTGTTGATCTGACAACTCATTGATGAAAAACTGTGCAATGAGATTATCCCCGAAGGGAAATGCGTCCCGCTGTCTGTCCTGCATTCCTTGGATATACTGTCTGAGAACTGTTGGATGGTCCTCATTGAGCAGGGCTGGAGGCGGTGCTCGAACACCGGCTGCTTGCTGATGTCGAGCAATTGTTCTTGCCTTTGCGTCCTGTACGGACTGTCGAAATGATGGGACTGCCGTGAAAACGGGCATCAAGTCCATCCATGCTGCCTTCAATCTCATGAGAAGGATTTCGAATTTTGAGGTAAAAATGAGGAACTCTTGGGTCTGCCTTCATTGGTTGAAGAAACTGAGGAGTCTACAGATACACGTTGGTCGCACCTTTCAAAAAGTACTTCTTCAGCGTTTTCTTGAAATAGTTGACTCCTTCATCAGGATCTTGCAAAAGGTCATTTTGGAGGACTGCCTTGTACATATATGCATCTCCTGTAAGTCTGCTCTTCAGGAGAGGTCCTCTCTTTGGTGCTTCCACCGTTGTGATGGTCACCCAGTCGTCCACGAGTTCTTCATACCTGAACCAGCTGACTTTTCCGTCGTACGATGGCGGCTGCTTGGCGGTCATCGATAAATTTAGTGTTTCCTCCGTATAGCTCGGCTTTGCCGAACTTGTATAGGCTTCCATGAAGCCTTCTCCATCTGATGACATCTTCCCTTGGATCTCTGCGGAAAACCCGCTCCGCTACCACGAATTGAGGCCCACTGCCCCAGGTGCCTATCCCCGGAGGGAACTGGAACCCTGTGGTAGTTGAGGTCGTTGTTGGTCCCTGTCCAATATGCCAGTAATGGATGATTGGAGGATGGATTGTCCCTGGTGGATTGTCTTGTGGATAATCCTGTAAGCGGCCTGCAATGGCTCTTTTGTCTTCACGCTCGGATGGTCGTGATTATGCAAAAGGGGCCCTTGAGCCAAATGTTGCGGGAGATCAATGATCTGAAAAACAGATTACAGGGGGGCGGGGGTTCTATTTTCAGGCCTCTTCTTTTGTTCGTGAGTCAATGACTCAATGGGCCGACGCCGCGCGGCGGAGAGGAGGCGATCTCCTACAGTTCTCTCCTACCTGCGATTGGGAACGCTGCTTGGCCGTTGAGGTGTCTCCAAAAACTGGGCAACACCTGGTCGTTGTTGGGAAACATTTTGCATTGTTTCTTATTGCTTTTGTTGGGAAATCCCACTGAACTGCTAAAATTTAAACGGTTGCAACATCAACCAAGAACAGCTTGAGCCTGAGAAACTGACCATTCCGCTGACAGAGCACAAAGTTGGCTGTGAAACTTTCCGAGCACTTTCAATGGTTGATCGACACAATGCCTCTTGTGTTCTTTCCGCGCCCAATGGAAATACAGGCAATGTGGAGTGGCATGTTTATTATGTTTTTTTGTACTTTCCTCATGAACTATGACTATTTGGCACGTTGCTCATAAAACACGGATCATCCAGCATCAATCATATGACTTGTCGTCAGTTCATTTGGAGAGGCCTGAATTTCCCACCAAAACCAGGGGCCTCACCAATCAATCCTCTAGGGGTTGATTCCCCATTATTTTCAAGCATCGTTCTTTTCAAAAACCGGTTGTTTCCCCCGGGTTTTTGATGGTGTCCTGAAAACATCCGGATCAATGAAAAGAATGGAAACGGAAGGTACCCCTAGAAATCCACGTGGGGCAGCTCCTTTCCTTGAGCCGCTCACATCAACTGAGGTGGTTTCAAGCCTGGCCGAAGCCAGACCGGGCACGTACGTGCCCTACCGGGATTCGAAGCTCACGCTTCTGCTGAAGCAGTCGTTGCTGAAGCCGTTCTTGGATTAAGCTTTCTGCTTTTGTTATTAATGTCATTTATGTTTTTTTTTGGTAGGGGGCAATGAGCCGTCAGTGTTTTGCAAGCCCATAGCCTTTGTTTTGAGGTTGGGAGGCCCCACCAAGACCCTGTGGCTCAGCCACGTGACGCCCACCGATCTGGCATATGAGGCAGGGAAACCAGATTCCCAAACTGGAAATTCGGAATCCCCAAATCCCTCACTTGGACTGGATACTTTTCCTAGCTACCTTTCCCATTGTTTTCAGAGATGCTTCTTTCTAGAAAACCTCCAGAAACCCAGGGAAAACAGCCAGTTTTTCAAACGAACGATGGTTGAAAAGGATGGGGAATCACCCCCTAGAACTTTTGAGGTTTGACTGTTTTAGTTGCAAACACATGTGATTTTGGTTTTGCCAACGTTCTTGAAATGAGATGGGATTTGGCTCTCTAAACAAAAACAGGTCGGCCACAATCAACATTTCGGTTTCTGATGTTTTCGTTTAGTGCTGGAACAACATAGAAGTTTAAACTTTGAAATTCCTGGGATTTGAACCAGTAGTTGTTGTTTAAGGTTAATGGGGAGTGGGGAACAGTCACAGCCATTAGTGGGTTTGTATATCTGCCCGTTGAATCTTTACATTGTTTTGGGTCGACCATTGAGTGTCAAGTGTTGATTGGACGCATCAGGGGTTTTCCTTCAACCACCAAGCAAGGGTACCCTCAAAAGCAGGCTACCATAAATGGTTGCGGCCACCTTCTCAATTCTTTACGTTCTGGGTCGACCATTTTGATACCGGGTTGCGACTATGACTCATATTTCGCCTTTGTGCATCTCACTGGCAGGACCATAGGTGTCCTTTTTGGTTGATTTTGTTGAAAAGAGGGCGATTCCTGGTTTACCTGGTGGTTCCATCAAGGTACGCGCCTGGAATACCACCCCCCCCCCCCGCGGGCTTGTTTGCACCCATCAACTGCGAGGGCCGTTTGGCCCAAAAAGGACACCTATGCTCCTGCCGATTTTTCCTTCTTTTTTTTGGTGGCTGACCAAAAATGGTCTTACCCAAAAAGGGTATCCCTTTTGAACAACTGAGACTCATATCGTTGGTTTTCTCACTCGCAGGAGAGCCTCTCCACCGTCCGCTACGCCGCCCGCGCGGCTCGGATCGAGAACCCGCCGCTGGCGCGCGGGTCTTGGCCGCCGGTGGCGCCCATTGCGCTCGCGGCCCGCGGGAGGGAGGGGGGGGGGTGGTCGAAAATTGGAGGGGGGGGAGTAGATTCAAGACTTTCGGTGGATTGGCTTAACCGCTATTGGGTTGGATCTTTAGACTTTAACTTTTTGGGAAATCAAGGGGGTTTCCACTAAACCCCCAAAAAAGTTAAACTTTTTGCAGGGGGGTCAACAGCAACCAAGTTGGGGGTATGTTATTTCAGGCTCCTTACCCTTTTCAGATTTCCGCAGCCTCCTTAGAAAGCCCTCGGCTTCGAGTTTGAATGAGTGATGGCGGCTGGGTGCCTTTTAAAGGGCTATTTGGGTGCATGCTTCACCTTGCACTCTCAGGGAAGATGTGAAAAATGCGCCCGAACCAACCGAAAAAGTAGTTGCCAAGAAATTTGGAATAGCATTCATGGATCCGAAGTAGAGGGTCAGATCGTGAGGGTTTTTATGACAACCCCGATATATATTTTTGTGCATGTTTAAGTTGTTGTTTTTTGCGAAATAATTCATATGTTTGCAGATTTACTTAAATCATATATATACTTCCTGCAAATGTATGGTTTGAGCACAGTGTAGCTTCTTGATCTATGCCGGCACTGATGGGCACAATGTGAGTGAGAGGCTGATTGGTTGAGTGGGCAGCTCATGACACATTGTGAATCGAAAGGCTCTGGAAGGTCATGTCAAGTGCACAGACAGCATGTCAGGTGTAGAAACAATGAATTTGGCATGTCTCACAACACTACTTTAAAGGCAGGTAAAAGGCAGGGGCAATTTGGTTAGCCCCGAAAAGCTATCTCAAAAAATCCTAAAAACCTCAATAACTACATTGCATTTTTGGTTTTCTCAAAATGTATCTTTTTGTCTCAAAAAATATCGGGACTAGTAAAATACAATAGTACTTTAAAGGCAGTGTCAATTTTGGGAACCCCGAAAGTCTATCGCAAAAAGTCTCAAAAAATCTCGCAAAATCTCGAACGTTCTCATTTTGCTCAAGTAAAACAAGTGTCCCGTATCTCCTGAATTTTTGGCCAGGAAGCAGCAACACTACAGAACAGTAGGTCCGATTCGCGCAGTCAAGCCAATGTTAAGTCGGACTGGGGTCATCTGATGTTGAAACGTTGGGACAATCTGGAGCAACACAAGAGGCGGAGACGAATAGCTATATATATATATATATATTGAGTGACGCTGGAATCGTACTGGAAACTTGAGAAAAATAATATTATCTTTTTTTCTTAGGTAAATGACAATATATTTGCATAAATATGTTGTCACTGAGTTTGGAAACCCTCCTGATCGAGCCTGGAATTTCAGTCGGTGAAACATCCCCCCCCCCCCCCCGGCCTAATGTTTGGTGTTTTTTTTTTTCATTTCGAGCAGGGAACTAGCCCTTGCTGCCCTTTAGACCAACCCCAAAACGGGTACCCTCAAGACCCAACCCAGTTTGGCAGGGAGGCTTCGGATGCGCCGGGAGGCTCCGCTTAAGCCCTGGGGGTTGGGGGATGTCCACAGTGAAAGGTTCCCTTGACACCCCGTGTTTGGAACCACCATTAACACCATAGGGGGCAATTTCAGCACAACCATTTGCCGAAGGAGTTTCATGTTCCAAATTGGGTCAACCCTTTGCTGAAGCAACTTTGCATAATAGCCTCCGGTGGATGCGCGTCGCCCCGAGATGAGATCAACCTGCAAAAGGCGAGATGCGTTGCTTATGCGGAAGACCCACTCGGTTTAGGTCTCACGAGAACGGTGCTGCGGTCACAGGTTTCATCACAAGACCACTGCACCATATCCCTTAATATCAACCCCAAAGGAATATAGCCAGTATAGGGGCAAAACAAAATGGCAAACGAAGTTGAAGGAATCTCTGAGGGACATATTTTGAATAGCTGCTCAGTGCGTGGTTCGATTTGTTCTGGCTAAAAGGGTCCATTTACAAGGTTTCCATGTTGGGCATGTATCAGCCATATAACTCGTACTTGAACCTGACCGGCCAAGCAAAACGGGATCCGCTTATTTGATCCATACCGCTGGTCAGGCTGCCCCCTGGATCACGGATCCGCCCAGCGGAGGGTATCACGCAGAGTGAGGCCTCATGCGTCCATGTTTTCCTCAAAATGAACGGGCGCCCAGGAAGAATCTGCCTATTTGATGGGCAAAGTCATCGATTGGCCATGTTAGTCCTTTGCTGGGCCCTCCCGTAGTTCAGGCTTCGGAATTACAAGACTTGCAATGCAACTTTCACATTTCACTGTGGCTCTGCTGCAAACGATGACCACTCAATTTTCTTCTGAATTTTGGTTGTTTTCCGAGACAGCGGGAACCCAGGATCAAGAAAACTCTGGTCGATAAATCGATGGTGTCCCATTTGATGCCAACCTTCAGGGAAAACCTCCAGGTTGCAGTTCGTCTAGCTGAAACCCAACAGCTAGGATGAGCAAACACCTGGGATTCCTCCAGATTCCTTTGGTTTGGTTCAACATCGGCTGGGCCCCAGTAACTTCGAGCAAACGGCAACGACCCAGAGTCAGACGGATTCGGAGATGGGTTTGCCAAAGTTCACGGATCAAAATCAGAAAATCAGAGTCAGCTCCCAAACCATAACTTTCAGTCCATCTTCGATGCTCTCATTATCTGAGAGCATTGGACACACATTCCGTGTTGGTTTCTGGTGGTCATGGTGTCCTTTTGGATTCCCTAGCCAAAACAAGTCACATGCACAGCTGGGTCCCTTTGGTGCCCTTTGCCCCCAGAAAGGCACCTCTGTCGCGACAGAAGGAGCCGAGCGTGTCTCAGGAAGCTGGGGCCGATCCAGCCGAGCCGCAGCGAAAAAGAGCGGCTGGAGACCGAGAAATGTGCGGGAGAACATGTCTGTGCCACACAGCCAGGTCCCCCAGTGCCCTTTTACCCCCTTTTTGGGGGGGAGGGTTCCCCTACCAAAATAGACTACAGAAGAAAAAGGTAGCCTTGATACTTTTGGCGAAGACCAGCCTAGTAGCAAACGAGTTTTGAACTGGTGTTGGCCAATCCAGTCCGTGAGCGAGGGATTTCTGGTTGGATACGGTGCACGTGAGCATCTGCGCGCCCCCGACAGCTTTCACGAAAAAGGCGCAGGGCGTCTACAAGGAACCTACAAGAGGAGCTGGCACGTTCCCTCCAAGAAACATGGATGCTGACATGATTCCATGATTGGAGGGAATCGAACATCCTGTTAACATCCATGATTCCATGATTCCATAGTATTAGAAAGCTGGTGTCCTGTTCAAACTCTTGTCCGCTTCCACGATTGTTGGTAGTCGGAATCCGCCGAGTTCGCTTGCAAAGATCGGTTGACCCGCCAGCGAAAGATAAGCGTCGACCACGGGACCACCCAACGGGTACGAAATGCCACACATGTTCTTTGATTGTCCATGAAACCGATTTTTACAGGGGTTTAATTCTGCCCAGTGGGTATCCATGCAAAAGCCTTGGCATATGCGATCAAGCGCCAGCAAACCTTACGAGCGGTGGAAGCGGCAGCGGCTGGGAAAAAGCGTGGACGCGGGCGTTGGGCGCTTCGTTTGCAACAGAGGACCCAACATGCGTCTCTGTGCGTGTGTGTCATGCCTGCGGGTACCAGTACTGTGTTGTCAACCCCTTGCGCAAAAGGCCATGGAAAGTCGAGCTTTTCAACATATAGTTACCCAAAGAGAGAGCTTGTATCTTGGAGCAAACCCCATGAGCCAAGTCATGTTGTGGAGTGTCTTGTGCCTTGTCTCCGGTTACCTTTATTTCAGTGCCAGCTCCACCATTTTGCCGCGGTTCCGCCGTCAAACCAAAGGGAAAGCAGCAGTTTGGAGGTTTCCCCCGCAACCAAGCTGTGTGCCGAGTGGATGACAAGGTGCCGCGCCCGTTTGACACAAAAAAAGTTGCTCATGACTTTCCCTTGGGGCAAGAACAGTGGGCAGAGCTGGAAGGTTTCCAAACACAGGCCAATCAGAGGCTTGGGTTAAGGATCTGGGCGTGGCTTGTCAAAATGGGGGACCCAAATGCTGGCTTTCCTTTTGGTTTCCCTTTATGCCCACCTGACAAAAAGCAAAAAAGCACAAGCCCATTGCTAGGAAATAGCTGCTTGCATGGGTCGGAACTTACGTTGCGACAGATACCCAGTTGTTTTGTGGTGCCCTTTTCCCCTTTCCTGTTTGGCGGCTCCCACGCTTAAGGATGGTCGACCCAGACAAGACGCTGTTCCCTTTCTATATCAAAACATGGGTCACTGAAACTAGATTGGGGTGGTCGAATGTCCCTTTTTTTAACAGGACATAGTCATGCATGGTTGTTGTTTGTTTCTTCAATTTCCAATGTTTGGGGGGACACCAATCGGGAGGGTCGGGGGGAGTAAAATGAATGAAGGTCCTTGGCTTGGGGAATCTCCATTGCAACCAATCCGCAGATTCTACCTTGCCATCTTAGGACCTCAGTCCATTGGCCTTGTTGAGGTCCAACCCCCGTCCAGCGGAGATCCTTAAGACTTTCCAATGGTTCCCTATCAAAATCCCCTTGTGGTGAACCATCGCCTGTTGGGCCAACTGTGTTTGCTTTTGGTGTGATGTTTACCGGCGAAGTATAGGGAACCCTGTAGGGTTTCGACATGGAATCGGATGACACCTCTTTTGGGGAGTTGCAGGCCTATATGTCCTGACACTCCTACCAAATTCGTTTCTTTGGGAAGCCTGTAGGGTATTAGGGGTGGGTGGGTCTTTCGGGGAGTTGGGTTTTGAGTCTTGGGAGCTCCAGGCGGGCGCTTTGCCGAAGTGCGGCGCCCAGATGTTGATCAGGGGCATACTTGGATGGTCTGGGAGGAATCGCTAAATGGCTGGTAACCCTGGTCAGAACTCACTTACAATGGTTGTAAGTCCCCGGTAACTAGGGCTACCCATCTAGCGATTCGTCCCAGACCATCTAGGGGCTGACGTAAAGTCTAAACTCACCTCAGTTTGTTTTCTGGCACCCCCAATTTAGTTTTTGATCATGACCTAACTTCGGCTTTCAGGCACGAAGAAAGAATCTGGGCACTGCCTGTAGGCAAGCCTCATGGCTTTTGCCACGGGGATTTTTACGCAATGGTTTGCTCGTGCTTGTCGGTGTCTTTTCGTCTGCCCATAGCGAACGAACGCCGATTCGGGTTACCTGGAAAATGGGAAGCTACTAGACGAAGGGGTGGTTTCACCCAAATCAAAGAGCGCCAAGCCCAAATTATCAGGCCAGTGTTCTCAGTGCTTCCAGGTACGCCACTGTCGACAGGGATTTTGACCTCTCGATTCTTCATGGTTTCCCTGGTTCCCTACTATGCTGGTTGGAAGCACCGGGTGGTATACATGCCAAACAAACCCACGGCAAGAGACTTCTTAAACAAAAGACTTCTTAAACAAATCCCATCAAACATGGATGTTGGATTCCAAATGGTCCAAGATGTGGGTCCTTTTCTGAGGCCCTTTTCGGATGACTTGAAAGAGAAATCGATCGGAAAACCCGGGGCCCGTAAACGCCACGCCCGTATCCAGGGATGATCCGCACGAGCCCATAGCGTGTGATATTTCCTGAAAGTGTCCCGCCGGGTGATGACCCCTCGAGCCATGTTTGAGAATCCAAAAGGAATTAAGGAATTGACCCCTAGTTAAAGGCGATCGGGTACGTCAAGCAAGTGGTTAGCAAGCCTGGTTACCCACAAAAGCCAGGGCTGGTTATAAGTCTCCGTTCGTGGGTTATAACCAGGCTAAGTACCCTGCCGCTTTAAGCAGGCCCATGAAAAATGTGGAATCCTTGTCAGGAATTTGTATCGTTGGTGTAGCTGTGTGCTTCAAAATGATTGGGGGGCCCTGTCCAAATGATCAGGATACCACTCTTTCTGTCACTGCCCAAGAAGAGACAGAGAAAGAAGAGGCAGAGAACGAGAAAGAGGAAAAACAAAACGCGAGAAAGACAAAGAGAGAGCGGGAGAGACAGAGAAAGAGAAAGAAGAGACGGAGAAGGAGGAAGAGGAAGATGAAGAGAAAAGAAAGAGAGAGAATGAAAAAGAGAGAGAGGGAGACATATTTTTAGAATGCCGACAGTTCTTGAAACTTCCGCTCACCGGCTTCTTCGGATCTACTGGTAGTCAGCCATAGGAACTGCGCTACAGTTCACAAGACACCTTTAGGTGAATAGAGAATACTCTGGCATGACTCAGCACCTAGCCTGAAAGGAAAAATATAAAAGATCCGATTTCGGATGCAAAAGGTTTAGACTCTTTCGGCGTGTTGTTCTCATTTCACACTTTGAATAGTGAACACGTTGAACACAACAGGCGTCCCTCAAAAAACCTCTTCTCAACACTTTGCAAGAAGAAGCTCCAGAAGAAGCAGTGGTGTTTGTTTCAGTGGCTGCTGCGAATCAGTTGAGTTTGTGTGACGAAGCATGGTGCTAGTACTCTGTCAGAGTGGCTAGGGTTGTTTTTCTTGAATCATGTTTCATGGCGTTTTCAGGGAACGAGACAGCTTCGAAGCATGGCTTTGGACCTTTGGGAAACAACTGTCTTATCCACTAAACCTGCAACCTCTTGCTGGGAGAAGAGGGGCCCAGTATATAGCTACTTCACAAAGGCATGCTGGTAATTTCCACAAAAATAGCGCGGATATACAGGGGCGAGGGGTAGGGCAAAGTGGCAGTGTGACCAAGAGTCAGCAGCGCGCGCCAACCGCAGCTAAAAAGCCTTGTCATGACTCTACCAGCCTGTGGCCACGCAAAGCTCCATGTGGGTCAGGAGCGCATCGCTTCCAGGTTGTTTGCTCGGTTTCACTCAGTCGCTTGCGCTTTGCTCGGTGTCACTTGCGTGTTCCTTGCGTGTCGCCTGTGCGTCGCTTGTGTGTCGCCCTGTGTGTGTCGCTTGTGTGTCGCGCCGTGTCGCTCGCGTGTCGCCCCATGTCGCTTGCGTGTCGAGCCGTGTCGCTTGTGTGCTGCCCAGCGTCTCGCGCTCTTTGCCCCGTGTCGCTTGTGTGTCGCCCTGTGTTGCTTGCGTATCGCCACGCGCTTCTGTTTGCCCAGAGATTTTGGTCTCCAAACTGTTGGCTTATAAGCCTGCAGTGATGCCGATTGCATTTTTTTTAAGCGCCTTCAAACTGACAGCATTTCCACAAACCTGAGAACAACGGTCGTTGGGTGGTGCTGGAAATGGGTGGTTGTCCTTCTGTTTTC